GCGGGGGGCTGGAGGGGAGCTGGGTGCTGCTGCTTGGGATGCTGCTGCTTCTCCAGGGGGTCCGGGCGGCAGTCCAGAGCGCCTTTTCCTTGAGTTCAACATAAGGAGTAACAGCAAAATTGTTTCCTTTTTCAGAATAGTCGGAAATCTGAGACTTAAGTGCCTTATTAATCACTTGAATTGCCTACTGCCACTATTTCTGCCACTTTATCAGGGGAATATATGCCTGTGTGTGAAACCTTGGCTTTTGAGACTCTGTAGTACCACAGTCTGGGTCAGTGTGGGGGACAGGAATATAATACTTGAGCCAATTTGCAGTTTCCCAGAGCTCAGTTGTTTGCTTTGTACAAAACAGGCCCCAGAAGGTGCACACCGGCCATCGGCAGTCGTCCTGCGGGTACTGAACAGCTGTGGTTCCAAGGCAGCAAAGTTTGCACATTACAGTCCTGTAGGAAGATGATGTTTATGTGAAAGAGCGTGGAGTTATGTGATAAAACACAGAAAGAAATGATTAACTGCGAAGATGCAGTGATTGATGACATTGTTGTGCCCCTTTGACTGTCTTGGTTACCTGCAGAGCTGCCACATTGGGATTTACTTGGCAATTAACCTGCTTCAGAATGGTTTTTCTTCTCCCCTGTTAGGCAGAATTTTCCAGTGGAGTTACTGTGGTGTGAAGTTGATGAAGCACAGGTTTCCTTTTGCCCAAATGTTAGCTTTTCCATGCATAAACTTATTATGGCTGGAAGTCAAAATCAAGCTAGAAACAAGACGGGGTTTCTCCTATCAGAAAGGAATAATTCCAGTTTCTCAATGGGACACTGCGCTTAATTCTGAACCTTGAAAGACCAAAACGTCAAACTTGAACAAGTCACCTCAGTATCCGTAGAAAAGCCGTTGCAGATCACTGATAGGACCCACACAACCCACTCATGGCTTTACTGTGTGAATAACATGCCCAAATTTTTAAACCTTTGACTCTGTATCCAGACCTACATCTCTTCCATCAAAATTAACTCAATATTGTTTTAAGATACTTTAAAACACTCATGAGATTGTGTTTCCTTGCTCTGTTACCTGGCAGCCTGTTTTTCATGACTCAAACTGTGCAGGGTTCAGGAGGAGCAACAGCCACAGCTAAAAATGACCTGACATACCTTTTTCATGCTTAGTACCAGTATTTGAAAGTGTTTAATCTCTTTTTTTCAAGACCTGCAGGTGAATCTGTGTCCCCTTGGGAGCTAGGAATTCCTTCTTTCCTACAGAATAAGGGTCACATTTCTAGCCCTGCTTGCCTGCGGGATACAGTCTTCTAAGCTGTGAAATGTTAATGTGTATTAAACTTTCCCAGTGATTCAGAACTGAATCTCAGCCATCCGTGGCATCATATAGTTAGTTTTACGGAGGAAAAACTCTAAACTTCATGAAGTAGGCTAATTATTTCATATTTTAATCTCTGAAATTGCTTGAGGAGTTAGAATACTAGAATAAATCTCTTCTGATAAACGAGTAGGCAGAGAGTCAGTAAAAAAAGTAAAAAATGTACGATAAATGAATTTGTCACATGCTTCAGCAATTTATCATTCATTTCCATAATTAATCACAAAGCTCTGAAATGTATTCGTGTCATCTCTGTTGATACACCCACAGCAAATGGCATAGCTCTGTGAGCATATCTATTTGGTTCAAAATTAAGGTAAAAATTAAAAGAAAATGTCAAGCAACACAGAAATTTAGAGATGGTGAAACATAAATAAAGCAGAAAGTCAACCTCTTGATCTTTTTTGCCTCCCTGTGGCCTTATATGAGTTCAGACAACCTTGGCATATAGACTGGAAAGCCCTGGCAGTGTGTTTTGTATAGGAATATTGTGCTTTTGTGTCGTTTGCCAGCCCCTCCCCGACACGCAGTATAATGGCAATCCGGAGTCCGTGGGGTACAGGATAAAGTTCTGGCGTGTGGATCTGCAATCTCCCACCCTGATGAAGGTTATTAATGACCGATTGGAAAGAGAGTACACGGTTGAAGACCTGGAAGAGTGGACAGAATATGAACTGCAGATCCAGGCTTTCAATGCCATTGGGGCAGGACCATGGAGCGATGTAGTGAGAGGTCGGACACGGGAGTCCGGTAAGTGAAAGCACCATGTGTGCTGTGAAGGACACATCTGAATACTTCAGCGTTTTCTGCCTGTATGTTCAGGTGGTTTTTTTTGTTTCATTTGTTTTGTTTTTTTCTTGTTGATCCATTAAATCTAAAATGAAGGAAAAAACCACAATATCTTGATGCACTGGAGGCGAAAAACATATGGACATTTGAGGGAGTTAGTTATTTATTTTATTCCTAGCCTGCTTTCGTGCATAAACCTGCAGGTTATTTATTTAAAGCAAACAAAACAACCTTTCCCTGTTCCTGCCCCTGTTTGGCAGCAGTGTGGACAACACACCAAGCAGTTTGCATACAGCCTTCTCTGGCTGAGCAGGTCTCTCGTGCTGCTTCTCCCTCCCTCGTACCCCATCGCCCCTCATTCTCCTCCTTTCCCTCTGCTTTTAGGCTGGGGCAGATTTTGCTCACAATCGTGGTTGTCTGAAATTGAATTTCAAGCACCAAATATTTCTAAAAGGGAAAAAGTTATTTTGCAGAGGTGATTACTCATACAGAAATAAAATAATTATCTGAGCTTTTGATGACATGTTTTCAAAACTGCCTTCTAAAATTGTGTGTACAAGGCTATATAGGCATAACCTGCATATAGACATAACCTGCATAGATACCTAGAGCACAGGTACTGTATTGTTTAGCTGAATTGTCCATACTAGCACGGAGACTTCAAATGTCAGAAGCAAACTCTCAATATATCAGAAGCAAGTAACAGTAAATCTCAATCTCAAGTAACAGTAAATTATTGTTAGCTTAGTAAAGATAGATCTGGAAAAGCTGCTCTCTAGCCATTAACTTCCACAAAACTGATTTCCAAACCCACCCCACATGCACCTGATAAATTAAAATTTATATTGCAAGCGAATAGCAAAATGGATGACATATAGTTTAAAAGTTTAATAACAAAGGCTCTTGGAGACCTCTGTTCATGCAAAGTTCAACTCTGATTTTTCTTATTATTTTTTGCCATTTTTCTTCATTAAAAATGTATTGGAATTTAATCCCATGCACACCTACACTTATAGGCACACGTATGCATGTCTCTGCGCTCGGTACCACGCAGCGTTACTTGGTGGGATGCACGAATGTGCTGTACATGGCAGCATGGCAGGGTTTGATCTGCTGGTTCTGATAACTATCCTTTGAACTAGCCAGGGAGTAGGCTAAACAAAGTCATCCCTCTCTGTTAAAGTGTTGCTTTTTGGGAAGTAGTAATTGGAAAGCTATTGCCAGAGGTATTTTAAACAAGGCATACTTGTGCTGGAGTTAGAGATAGCATGACCCAGACGACACAGTTGTGAAGTGTTCTGTATCATAATAAAAAGATACTGCATTCTCCACTTTCTCCTTTCCCCTGCTCTTCAAACACTTCTTTTGAAACGCAGTAAATACTAAGATTAAGTGATTTCATAAAACCTTAGGATTATAGTGCTCTTGCTTAGCATCTAAAGATCAGAGGTTACATGTGTATTCGGTGTTTTCTCTTGCAGTATTAAAAGAAGGTTGACTTGAAACTGATTGTAGGAGGCACGCAGAAACCGGGATCAAAATAACACAAAGCTGTGATCTAGGCCATAAGGATTCATTTGGGTTTTTTCATGTGTTTTCTTTGATACTAACATCTGATTTCTTGAATAGAGCAAGTCAGGGCTCAGACTTCTGGCTGTATCTTCTTAAGTTTAGAATATACAAGAAGTGCTGGCATAGTGACAAGCTGCATGAGAGAACTTCAGGGAATCTGCAATTAACCTGTATGCACAGTCAAACAGGGCTAAAATGCAAGTAGCTAAAGCCAGAGAGAGAGGTCAAAGCGTCTTTAGAAATGTCTTTTGAACTGAAAAAAATTTCTGTTTATCACTTATGTTTTCAAAGTACTTTAAAAGCAGGTGTCCTAAATATTTCTGTTTCCATTTTGTAGATGCAGAGTCTTAGGGAAGTTGGTTTTGCCTGATGCTGCAAATTGTAACCATCCCTCACAGCTGGCCAGATGTGGCATGGCCAAGATCACACAGTGGTGCACTGGCAGAACTCACGGTTCTGTGTTTTACACCATCCAAGGAGGCGAGCAAGTTAAAGCCTGGGCACTGAATCAGCTTGTGGTATCTAGTGGCAGTGCGGCCACCGGAGTCCAAAATCTTTATTAAAAATAAATCTGGACTGGAACACTTCTGTTTATTCTAGGATACGTGATCGTATCACTAATAGCTGAGCACACATGCTAACAATAAAGGAACATGCTGTTACAGGTACTCTCCGGTTTTTGAAGCTCTTGAATATAAAACATCTTGAAACCAAAGAAACTACGAGAGAATAAATAATGCTGTGGGTTTTGGTAACCCAGGCTTAGAACTGTTGAGAAACTGTAAATGAAAATGTGGGATAGGGTTGCAAGCCGCTGAAGATGGAGAGGGATGAATTAGGGTTTTTCAAGAGGACAGGTTTTATCAATCCAAAAGGGTTTTATAATGTTAGAAATTAAATAACTCATTAAATTTTACAGTGTAAAATAACTACAGAGTAACAAGCTCAGTTTCCACTCAATAAATTGAAAGTGATGGTAGGTACAATATAGTGAAAGCAAGAAAACACGGAGGCTTCTAATATATTAGAACAACCTTGACAGGGCTGCTGCCTTTCAAATATAAACCCTCTTATTTTCAAACAATTCATCTCAGATACACCTAACCCAGTGCCTTAATATTCCTGGGCTCCTAATATTCAGCTACATGAACGTGTCTACTTACAAAATCAGCTGCTGCACAAGCATGATCACAGATCTATGGCAAGGATCAATCTCTTGATGTTTCAGAGGCTGACCTTCATGAAGCAGTCGCTGTGGAGTGATAAAGCATCGCTTGATAATTCAGATGTGGTCCAATGTCACTGCGGGGATTTGTCAGTTTGTACAAGCTGAGCGTTTGGCCGGCGGTGTCTAATTTTATAGGCAAAATGGTTGTGTGCTGCAGCTATGCTGCTTTTGCCATGAACCTTGCTCTACGTTTGCGCTTCTTAATTGATGGCAGATGTACAATATGCCAGCTTAATTTTTACTTTCAAAAACCAGTGATGGATGTTCAGCTAAAATGAGCTGCGAAAGTGGAGAGAACCACTGCATCCCACTGTCTAGCTTTCTTAGAAAGCCCGAATGCAGGCTAGCTTATTAAAAGCTGCTTTTGGCCCAGTTAGAGACATAAAACAGCATCATTTGCTTTATATCAAATGTGGCTATGTCAGATACAGAAAAAGGATGCATGATCTTAGATGCCAATGCAGATAACCTTAAAAACTTGAGTTCTTATTGAAGTTCCAGTGCAAAGTGCCAGTAACTCTATAATTTCCTACGTTTGATCTTCTAAAGTGCATCGTGCAGCTGGCAGTTTGCTGGATTAGCTCATCATTTAGTTTCAGTATTTCCGGTTCGTTTCATTAAAGCTCTGAGATTTTTTTTGGACACTGTTGCTTGGCTTCTGTACTGTTCTCGCGGGTTACTAATGAGAACTCAGCTTTGGAGCTTGTAGCAAAGTCTTCAGTGCCATAGTTAAGGACACCAGCACTACAGAAGGGAGCTTGCAGAGGAAAGAGGGATCCTTGTGCCTCACTCAAGCCGCTAATTAGTCTTAGCAAACTCTAATTTCTTTGAATCAGGATATCCTGAGAGAGAAGAGGGGTCAGAGAAATGAAGGTTACACTTCAATTCCTTCTTAAAGGGTCAATCAGAGGCTGTTACTTGATAAAAGACTGGCAACAGTAAGATCCATAATACCACTTGTGGGTCCTGAATTCACACATCCATATTAGAATAAAATTCTCGACACTGAGACAAGAACTGGAGAATTAAAGCGCACTCAATGAGCACAAGTCTTTTTGCCATTTAGGCATTAGGCTCAGATTCCTTGCCAGTGAGAGGGGACATTTGGCTGCTCTGGCTGTCACTGGGAATTAAGACGAGTCCAGGCTCATAAATCTTCGGATAGACCATCTCTCCTTTGTTAGCTGCCACGTCCCCCTGCCAGCAGTGGGATCACACACACACCTCAAAGTAATCGTGCACGCAGGGCCAGCCCGGGCACAGCCCCCACCTTTTGTGGATTCGGGAAATCTCGTGGCTGCTGATCAAAGAAGAAGGTAAATATTTGTAAAATAAAGAATTTTTTTCTCTCTTGAAAGGCTTCAAACCAGATAAAATGAAAATAAATGCGGCTGGAAAGGGCTTCTTTCCTCTACGCGTCCTGGTTTCCTGCGACCCACCTCCACCCTTTCTCTCTCCAGAAGTGATTCATGTGGGAGTAGCTCTTTGTGAAGATGTACAGATAAAGTTATGGCAGCTATCCAAAGACATTCATGGCTCTTGGCAATCTATTTTCCTTTAACATAATTATATCCTTGTGGGGGATAAATCTAGGAGAAGATTTGGAAAAAAAAAAAAAGGCACTTCAGCGTTGAAGGGGAAAAAAAATTGGATTTTAGTCTGCTGCAGTGTTGTGAGATGGTGCTCTGTTTCTCATGTCCCAAATAATTGGCAACAGGGAAATTGTTTCAGAAATTACTATCGCTGTGGTTAACCTTGAGTGCACAAGGGTAGGGGGTGGTGATTTTTTTTTTTCAATTTATATTAATTCTGGTGTCATACTCATTATCTCATTCATGTTGCTAGGAGCTTCAGGAGCTCGCCTTCAAAACAGCAGATCTGTTCTTTCATTCGGACAGCCGGGAGAGCATTACTTTTGGCAGAGATTTGTGCTCCTTTTTGTGATATATTCAGGACCTAATCAAGCCTTACTGTCCTTAAGTGCTTGTGTAACATAACTTGGTGAAATGTTCTCCTGAGGTCTGACAGGTGTATCATGCTTTAGAAAAGATTGTACCCTTCAGCTGTTGAAAATGCCACAGGAAAAAAAAAAAAAAAAATGCAAAAGGGCATCATCAAATGTGAGCTCTTAAAAATAGCCTCCAATTCTGCTTGCGTAACATGGCGCGCTATTAAGCTTGCCTACAAAAGCTTGCAGTTGTGTGGTTGTTCTGCAGCGGTTAGAGTTTTAATGGCATGAGAAAATGCAAGTTTGCTCTTCTCTCGAGTCGGAGAAAATTACAGTGTTCCTGTGCCATCAGTTCTAATGATGTTTCCAGTTTCATAAGAGCCAATTTTGCAACATAAATGAAATAGGCATCTCTTTCATTTGCACCATATCAGTCCCTGAAAATACACCTTGTGTTAATGTATCTGTCTATAATTGATGTATTGCAAATGTTGAGCACTATCACATAATCAAAAGGCTTAGAGGTTAAAGAACTCCTTACGAAACTGGGAGTGCAATCCAGTGGTTGAAATTATTGCTAACTCTAGACTAGATGCTATAATTTCCTTTCAGATAATATAGGAAGCCAGGGTGGCGTAAAACTTCCTGCTAGAACAGATCGTACCATAAGATAAACTCCCGTTCATAAAGATTTCTAGCTTTTGGCGTAGGGAAATAAAATGTATGGGAAAGAAAGGCTAGGAGATAGACTTCTGTAGAAGTTCAGCAATTTAAACTCAATTCTAATTACTGTAAATATATAGAACTTGAAATTTATTCCTATCTGTCTATATTCACCGTCTGTCTGTAGACACTGATTAGTATTAAATGTTTAGCTCTTTACAAACATTGCGAGTTCTGAGATGAACTGGCAAGAAGTTGTGAAGTCGGCTGAAATACAAAGATGATGTAGAATGAGTGCAAAAGAAGAAGGGATTGTCTAGAACCTATTCTAGTCCTTTTGGATTTGAATACTCATTGATTGGGGTCCTGGAACAATCCCAAGAAGATAGGGAGATGGAGAAAAATTACCTGGTATGTCTTACCTGTTTCTGCTTTTTGGTTATGCTGTGTGATTCCAGTTCCCTCTGCTCCTCCTGAAAATGTCTCTGCTGAAGCCGTGAGTTCAACCCAGATCCTTCTGACATGGACCGCAGTCCCTGAGTCCGAGCAGAACGGTCTCATCCTGGGTTACAAGGTATGCAATGGGAGTTTCATACTTATTTAATTTTTAATGTGTTACCTGGATATGTTTTTGCATTTGTTATTTATTATTCACCTGCTGGATGTTTATATTATTCCTAAATCAGCTGGGGAAGATACAAGAAGTGTGCTGGTTTTGAAAGGGTTGATTGGTGAATATAATCTCATTTTATATTTTGTGAAAAGGAGGCATCTAAAACGCTTACTCCTCTTTTCAGTCCTCATGTAACAATCTTTTTCTTTCTGTATTTCATATACATTTATTCTGCAGATACTTTTCAAAGCAAAAGATTTAGACGCCGAACCAAAGAGCCAAATAGTAAGAGGAAACCACACTCAGTCTTTCCTCTTGTCTGGCTTGCGGAAATACGTGCTCTATGAGATCCAGGTATTGGCATTCACTCGTATCGGAGATGGAGTCCCCAGTTTTCCTGCAGTTATAGAAAGAACCAAGGATGATGGTAAGTTTACAGATTACCAAAATAAGTATCTTACTTCATCTAACCTTTTAGTGATACAAGTGTAGACAACAGCCCAGACTAAGGCTATTTGGTTTTGTGGGGTTGGTGGCTTTTTGGGGGTTTTTTGCAACTTTGAATCTAAAAGACTGGATCCTTACCTAGTATAACTCAGAGTATTCCATTGGTAATGGGCTGAGGATTTGGCAAAACCACAGAAAACCAGAGTCCTGTGTTTCCTCTTTCTCTGCAGCTGATGGAGAGGAAAAGACTTCTAAAATTGTACTCTTCAGAGTAGACAATTCCAATTGAAGACAATTTTTAGAGTCCAATTATAAATTCCAACTGAAGTTAAATCTTGCTTTTAAAAAAAAAAAAGAAAATTGCTATTGAAAACAATAAACAAATCTGGGTCTGATTGGACTGAATGAGAGATACAGTATTCGCAACTTCAGTAATCCATTCTCAGTTTTTTCCCACAAAAACAAGGCATTGGCCCTCAAAGATGATCATACCAGCGTCCTACCAGTTGGAAGACCCAAGCAAGCCCCTGGTCCCACTGCTGTCTGAACACATCGGTGTGGTGGGAGCATTCCT